TAAAAAATATTTGAATTAGGGCGCCAACGGCTAGTTTATTTGAAAAATGCTCGCAAACCTTCTTCTTCAACCTTGAATTGATTTCTGCAAACTCCATGAACTTGTATTTTAAGCCAAAATCAAACATGGATTCAGTTGTCTAACAGATCATTGTTCATGTCTCTTTGCTTCAGAGTCATTGATTGGCTCTGAGCAAAGAGAATTTGCTCAAGAACACGAAGAACCATAGTTCTTCAAAGTAAAATTAAATTATGGATACACAATATAAATTTCAGTTAGTTGAGGGCTTTTGATCAGTAAATCAAGAAAAAGAGACCGGTAACTTGTTTGTTCAAGAATTTAACTCGTAGCTACCTTTTCAGCTGAAGCTTCAGAGGTCAACAATGGTGGAAATGGTGAGCTCGATTCAAGAAGTTTTAGAGCATAACGTTAGTTCAGTTAGCTTTAGATGATGCCGATGAGTGATTCTGGACAAAGATTTGAAGCAAAATGAGCTAGAATCAAGGAAATGGATTTCTAGTTTTGAAGGAGTGTCGGGCTCAATGTTTCAGAGTTTCGTTGACTTTTCAAGCTTGCAAATGAAGGCAAATCAACCCTCTATTTATAGGAAATGAAGTGATGAGCTCACACATGTGGTTTAGATCTCAATTCGTGTGAGTTAGGGTTGAAATTTGGTGATTTGCAAAGCGTGTGAAGTGAGGTGTGAAATGCATGAATTAACACTTGAAACTAGTCGTTTTGTGTTTGTTCAGATGCGTTTTAGGTCCCCAAATGGATTGCAAATGTGTTGGTGTTTCCATATTGAAATTGGAATGAATTTTGTGACCTGAAACATGAGCAAAAAACAGAGTTCATGGTGTCATGTTTGAAGCTAGGCCAAATGAGATTCCCTCGTACATTTTTTATTTTTGTTTGTGCCAAATGATCACTTCTTTGCAAAGAATTCAATGCAAAAATAATAACATCAAAAGGATTCTTGAATTTAAAATGGAATTAATCCAAAGTTGGGGTTGTGACCTGGTTTCTAGGTCAGGCAATAGGTCGAACCAAGTTTTGGCATGCCTAGCCAGCTAACACATCCAACTTCATGACATCATAACTTTTGATTCTCATGTGCATTTTGAGCCAAACATGGGTCAAATGATCCTTTTCATGAGCTTAAAAAAAGGTACAAAGAATCTTATTATTTGGATGCTTGAGCTAGAAATGGCATCGGTGGGAAGTAGGGGTCATGACAAGGTTTTCGACACTTTTGGCAATTTGGTCACTTTCCAAATTGAGATCCTTAAGAGGTTGAATTGATGTTTTATCCTTGAAGCATAGTTGTCGAGGAGTTCATTTGTGACATTTGGCTCAAATTAGCTTGTCCATTGGATGAAAATTTAGAGAGTTGTGGTGTTTAGAGCAAATGAAATGCCATACTTGAGTTTTAGGCCACACCACCATGTTCCAACATGTGATCTTTGCTATAATCTTGAATCCAAAGGCACAATGATGATCATGTGAGTATCAAATGAAGAAAACTTGATTGAAACTTGAATGATTGGATGATAACTTGTGAATTTGATGGAGATGACATGGAAATAAACACAAGAACCATCCTTGTGTCAATGAATCAAACTTTGAACCTTGCTTGACCAAACTGAAACCTCTTATGTTATAGTGAACATGCCTTGATCATGAGCTTCTCAACCAATCTTGTGCACCTAGATGAACACAAAGAGGAACAAACAAGTACCACATATCTTAATGTCTTGGTTAGAGGACATGAGACCAATGCAAACCTTAATCCACAAGGAAAACAAGGATTAAATAATATGCTAATGAAATGGTATGATGAATGTATGATGCAAAAGCTAGGGTGAAAATGAAGGTGTGACAAACTATAAGCCTTGACAAGAATCCAGTGCTGCATAGAAAGAGCAAGCACATTTATACAAAGCTCCATTTTCTGAGAAATTGGGTTCAGGATGGAGTGCTTGAAGTTGTGCATTGTAGCACTTAGAAGTAGCTGACAGATGTATTGACTAAAACAATCAAGACAGATATGAAGAATGGAATTGATGTTGTTGATTTTGATTAGTTAAATATGAACTAAGGGATGGTGTTAGTTATAATTCATTTTCATTTAAGTTGCATTTAGAATGAATTTGAGTTTTATTTAGTTTCGGTTCTGTTAGTATATAAGTCGGACTTAGCTTCATTTGTAAGTAGTTTTCAATGTAACATAATTTTTTGATTTTAGTGAAAGTTAGTTACGTTTTCTCTTTTCTCTTTTCTCTCTCTTACATCTTCATTATCTTCATCATCTTCATCTTCTTCCTTCTTGTGTACCAACAACTTTTATGTCAATTATAAAAAAAATTATATATTGGATCAACAATCACGCGGTCTGACTAGTGACTCATCGGTAAAACATTGGTGTTTGATCATTCAACAAACCAATAATCAAATTTAGTAATGTGGTGCTATCAACATGATTTATTTTATTTTATTTTGGTGTAATGTTGTTGAGTTGAATTTATATATTGTTGTTTTGTAAAAATTTCAAGAGAAAATTTTCAGGAATTAGAGTTGGGACGTGTGAGTTAAGACTGAACTAAGATAATCTATAATGTAATATTTTTTACTATATTTATTTATCACTCTATCGTTTATCTTTTTCGTTGTTGTTTTTTCTTATTCTATGTTTTTATTTCTTTCTAACATAAATTATTTTTAGTCAATCATTTTTGTAAAATGTTATTTGAATTTCAAATGTCACAATTTACCCCCTCTCATTCTCACTTTTATGTTTGAAGTCTTTTGTTCAACATTATTTATTCAGGGGGCTTCAAATCATATGATTGAAGATTTTATTTTGTTTAGTAGTTATTCACCATGTCCATAATTATAATGTTTGGATAGCTCATGGTATACATTCTAAGGTAATAGGTAAAGTATCGATTATCATTTCACCAAACATTACCTTGATTATACACCATGTTTGTAACCCGCTATTCTTTAGCAAGATTACAAGAGATTTGAATTGTGATACTAAGTTCTTCTCTAATTTGTGTAAATTTTAAAATTTGGAGTTGGAGAAGGAAATTGGCAAAGTTGAGGAGTGTTTCTATCTCTTTAAAGTGGAAAAATAAAAAGAAAAACCGAAAAGTGATTCTCTTGTAGCAAGTGCAGTTTCTAATAGTAATAATTTTGTAATGATGTGATGTTATAGATTAGATCCCCTAAATTTCATGTACTTGAAAAATATTTTTTTACTTTTTATTTATAAAAATTTTAAGAAATATTCAAGAAGTGCTGAACTTGAATGTACAAAAGTTGTAACAAAAGAAGTTCAAGCTCTTGTAAAAACATGGCACATAGGAGATCATCATTATACTAGAAGGGAAGAGAGCAGACATGTAAGTGGACATTCTCGATTTAGTATAAAGTTGATGAAAGTATAAATAGGTGCAAATCTCGGTTGGTGGCTAAAGAGTTCATACAATCACATGGTAGATTGTGAAAAGACTTCTATATTTGGTGTGAAACTAAGCTTTATTTGGTTTCTACTATCTCTGACGGTAAATATAGATTGGTCTTTGCATCAACTAGACATAAAGAATGCATCTTTAAAAATTAGATAAGAGAAAAAATTGTACTAGTTGATAAAGATAGATTTAGTTAAAAAAACTAATATATCTAACTCGCACTAAGTCGTGCATTTACCATAAACATTTTCCAATACCTCAAAGGTACACAAAGTTGAGGACTCTGTTTCCAAAAGAACTCTATTTGGTGTTGAAGTTTACACTAGCTCAATTTGAGCAAGTGTAAAAGCAGAATTCAGAATTAAAACGCATGGTATTTTTGAAGAAATTTGGCAGTGAATGCTAAATGAAATCAAAATTCCTCAAAGTTACACATGAAGATATTATGTGATACAAAATTCCTCAAAGTTACAGATGAAGATATTATGTGATAACAAGGTTGTTATAAGCAATGCAAAGAACCCGATTTATCATGATAAACCAAAGCATGCAAAGATAGAGAAATATTTCATCAAGGAGAAAAATGTTGACCATATTCCATCATATCAGTAATCTGCAAACATTCTAATAAAAACCCTTCCAAATAACATACAAGAATATCTGCAAACATTCTAATAAAAACCCTTCCAAATAACATACAAGAATATCAAATTCAGTTGGTATAATCAACATCTACAACCCCAATTGAGGAGTGTGAAAGAATCAACACATAACGTATTATTCTATTTTGTACAATCCATTAGGATTTAATAAAAATAACAACTAGTTGTTTTTTCTATTTTTACTGTAATTCTAATTAACATTTAGAGATTAATTCCCCTAATTTTCTTAATCTCTTTAATTTTAGGCTAGATTTCTGTTTCAATTTATGCCCTCTATATTCTATATATAGAGCCTACGTATTTATCATCATTTCAAAGAAATGTAAAGTATATTTCTACGAAAAGAATCATAAAATTTGGATGTCTTAAATTGCTTTTAAAATATTTCTGATATTTAAGTCCCGTATTACTCTTTAAATCAAAGTGAGTTAGCAAAATTTCATCTTAAACAATAACGGATGCAATTTTATACACCCGATGCATCAAAACCTAATTGAATATATGCTTGAATTATTACATACATAAAATAAAATAGAAAAGGAGAGAAAGCCCCATTTGAATGGACATGTAAACCATATGTCCCATAATAGTATTATATTCATTCTATGACTACAATTTTGTTAAAATATTACAAAGTAACAAGGCACTAAAAAAAAGCAAAAGACTCTGATATACATAGAACACAAACAGGGATATACACAGCTCAGGCATGAACTAATTTAATTTAATATTGATTGATGATTTCCAAAAGATGCCCCCATAAAGCATTACTTCCACTTTCACATCATCCAAGATAACCAAGACTAGAGGGTGGTGGGATGAGGATGGAGAAAACTCTTGTAAGGTATAAAAGTTAATCGAAATGTTATCCAGTCCTAACATACAAAAGCCTCCTGGTTGGAGCAGGAGGCGCCAATCCTGGGATATCTCTAATATCTTTGTTGTGTGGATTTACAATCTGCAAAACATTCAGTTGCAGTTAACAAAAATAGGGTTAATGTTGGCCTTGTACATGGCAAAGTGATTAAATATGAGCATTTCAACATGCGATTTACATGTTCGGAACTTTTGACACTATATTGCCTTCCTCTTCGTCTCATAGAAAGTATCGTATACCAAAAATATATTATAGAAATATGCTTTTTCTATTTCTTTTATTCTGTAACATAGTACATGAGTATTTATAGAATATAAATTACACTAAGAAATAGGGGTAATTATTCTCCCTATAAATGCTAATCCTAAATAAGGTAAGAATATAATAATACAATTAATTTCTATTTAATCACAATTTGAATCCAGCCATAATGAGCTGTATGACAGAATCTGTTTTGATTTTGTGCTAATATTCAACACTCCCCCTCAAGCTGGCATGAATATATCGTTCATAGCAAGCTTGCACACCATGTTATCAAACAGTCTCTTTGGAAGACTCTTTGTGAGAACATCTGCTACTTGACTTTTGGTAGGTATGTAGGACATACAAATCTCACCGCTGTCAACTTTTTCTTTGATGAAATGCTTGTCCACTTCAACATGCTTCGTCCTGTCATGTAGGACAGGATTATGGGCAATAGAAATAGCAGCCTTATTGTCGCAGTAAACTTTAATTGGAGTTGGGCCAAAGAACTTCAATTCTTCCATGAACTTTTTGATCCATAATACTTCACAAAAACCATGGGCCACAGATCGGAATTCAGCTTCTGCACTGCTCCTGGCTACAACATTTTGTTTTTTGCTCCTCCATGTAACTAGATTTCCACCTACAAAAGTACAATATCCTGAGGTAGACCTTCTATCATTTATATTACCTGCCCAATCAGCATCTGTATAGGCTTCAACCTGTATATGTCCTCTATTTCTGAATATCAGCCCCTTTCCCGGAGTACCTTTCAAATATCTTAATATTCTGAAAATAGCTTCAAAGTGGGCTGCACCTGGTGCATGCATAAATTGGCTTATTACACTCACTGCAAAGGCTATATCTGGCCTTGTATGTGACAAATAAATTAGTCTTCCAGCCAATCGTTGATAACGTTCTTTATCTACTATTTCATCTTCAGCAACTGACTTTAGTTTCACATTGGGATCCATTGGTGTTTCTACTGCTTTAGACCCTGTCATCCCTGTTTCTGCAAGTAAATCGAGTATGTACTTGCGCTGGTTGAGAAAAATACCTTCTTTAGATCTTGCGAACTCCATCCCAAGAAAGTATTTTAACTTTCCAAGATCCTTGATATCGAACTCAGCCTCAAGTCTTCTCTTCAGATCACTAATTGCTTTGACGTCATCTCCTGTAATAATAATGTCATCAACATACACTATTAAGATAGCAATCTTACCTTCAGATGAGTGTTTAAAGAACATAGTGTGATCTGCTTGACTTTGGGTGAAACCGTGTCTCTTAACAACACTTCCAAATCTCTCAAACCAGGCCCTTGGCGATTGTTTCAATCCATATAGGGATTTTCTCAATCTGCATACTTTGTTTCTTCCAAGATTTTTTTCAAATCCAGGAGGTAAACTCATATATACTTCTTCATGTAATTCACCATTCAAGAAGGCATTTTTAACATCATATTGATATAGTGTCCAGTTGAAATTTACTGCAAGAGAAAGAAGAATTCTGATAGAATTGATCTTAGCAACTGGGGCAAAAGTCTCTTGGTAATCAATACCATGAGTTTGAGTAAATCCTTTTGCTACTAATCTCGCTTTGTATCTTTCCACACTTCCATCAGCCTTGCATTTCACTGTAAAGACCCACTTACACCCTACTGCCTTTTTATCTTGTGGTAGATCAGTGATACTCCAAGTGTTATTTTTGTTTAGAGCATCCATCTCTTCTTTCACTGCTAATTTCCAATTCGGATCACTTAATGCTTCCTGAATAGTTCTGGGCACAAACAAATTAGAAATCCTAGACACATATGCCTTATGGGTGTGTGATAGTTTGTCATATGACAAGTAATTAGACATAGGATGTTTAGTGCACATACGAGAACCTTTCCTCTCAGCAATTGGGACATCGAGGTCAGGAATATTTTTTCTCACAGAAATTGGAAGATTAATATCAGGAAAAGACAAATCAGATAAATCATTGGATGAGTAAGAAGGATTACCAGATGAAGAACTAGAAGACAGATTATCTGTAGGACCTTCACTTGGTAAATCAGATTGGATTTCTACTGGAGAGACAATAGGGTTTGCACCACCTTTGTGGAATTTTTTTCGAACATACACTTTAAGTTCAGGATTATCATCCTTAATCAGTGTTTCTCCCCCTGTTTCAGATTCTATTATCTTAGCATTTGGGTGATTTGTAGTCACAATATCATCTAGAGCAGGCAAAGTTTCCCAAAAATTATCTTCTTTATTATTACATTGACTCTCCCCCTGAAGAGAATTTTTAAAAAAAGGTTGATTTTCAACAAAGTGAACATCCATGCTTTCAAAAAATTTCTTTGTAACTGGGTTAAAACATTTGTATCCCTTTTTATTGGAAGCATAGCCAAGAAAAACACATTTTTCGGCTTTAGGATCCAACTTAGAACGAAAAACATTGGGGATGTAAACATAACAAAGACAACCAAAAATTTTAAGGGGAAGATCCGTAATAATACGAGATGTAGGAAAATTGTTTTGTAACACTTGTACAGGACTTTCATATTGTAACACCCGAGATGGCATTCGATTGATGAGGTGACAAGCAGTTAATAAAGCATTTCCCCAAAGATACTTAGGTACATTCATAGAAAACATAATAGCTCTAGTGACTTCGAGGAGATGTCTATTTTTTCTTTCAGCAATACCATTTTGCTGCGGAGTATCGCGACAAGTGGATTGATGAATTATCCCCTTAGTTACAAGGAATGTACTTAAATATTTGTTGAAATATTCAGTGCCATTGTCAGACCTTAGAATGCCAATCTTAGTTTGAAATTGATTGTTAATCATGTTAAAAAAATCTTGAAATCTTTGTTCAACTTCTGATTTTTTCTCCATGAGATAAACCCAACACAGTCGTGTATGATCATCAATAAATGTTACAAACCATTTTTTTCCAGACATAGTTTTAATTTTTGAAGGACCCCAAACATCACTGTAAATTAAATAAAAAGGTTTAGAAGCAGAATAGGCTTTTGATTTAAAAGACACACGATGATCTTTAGCTAAGTGACAAGCTTCACAATGAAATTGTGAGGAATTTATTTCTTTGGAAAAAATAGGAAACAAATGCTTAAGATATGAAAAACTAGGGTGACCTAATCTTTTATGCCATAACATAATTTGATCTGAAACAGGAGATGCGTTTGTACTGTTTGAACCGAAAAACGCTTTATTGCCAAACTGAATTCCATCAAGGTAGTACAATCCATTCATCTCTCTAGCAGTTCCAATCGTCTTCCCCGAGTTCTGGTCCTGAAAAACACAAGTAGAGGGACGAAAAAGAACAGAACAATTAGTGTCCTTAGACAATTTATGAACAGATAGAAGATTACAAGCGAATTTAGGAACATGTAAAACAGATTGCAAAGTGATTTGCTCTGAAATTTTTATGCTGCCTTTGCCTGCAATACTTGAATAACTACCATCAGCTATCCTAACTTTTTCAAAACCTGAACTAGGAAAATAGGTACTGAATAGATGAGAGCAATTAGTCATGTGTTCAGATGCCCCTGAATCTATTATCCAAGGGTTAGAGTGGTTGTGAGCAGATAGTGCCCAAGAATCCTTACCTGTTTGTGCCACAGTTCCAGTAGGGATATTAAGAGATGAATTGGACTTTAGAAACTTAAGAAGGTTATCCATTTGCTCCTTCGTACATGGAGACGAATCAGCCTCATTGGCCATAGGCATAGGACGATCACCAAACTTACCAGCCTTGCCATGATTTGGTCGCCCATGTAGTTTGTAGCAAGTTTCCCGAGTGTGGCGATTGCGCCCACAGTAATCGCAAAATAAATGAGTCTTGTCTCCACCTCGTTGATTATGAAGTGGTTTACGATTGACATGGGGAATTGCCAAGGCAGATCCTTCAACTGGTGGAGGGACAGCTGCTGTATTTTTGCCAAGCATCACTTGCCGACGACTCTCTTCGCGACGTACTTCTGAAAAGACTTCACCAATTGGAGGGATAGGATTTCTGCCTAGAATTCGGCCACGAACCTCATCAAAATCAACATTTAGACCCGCAAGGAACTTGAAAACACGACTAACATCCACCATCTTCTTGTAATGTTTGCTATCGGCAGGTGATTTCCACTCATACTCATTGAAAAGGTCCAAATCTTGCCAAATACGTTTGAGACAATTGAAGTATTTGGTGACTGAATCTTCACCTTGCCGAATTTCTCCCAATTTGAGAGTTAATTCGTAGATTTGGGATTGATTTTCCAAATCAGAGTACATTTGGGAGACACCTTCCCAAAGTTCTTTTGCAGTATCATAACAGAGATAATTTGCACCTATCTCTTCATCCATGGAGTTGACTAACCATGTCATGACCATAGAGTTTTCAGCATCCCATGTATCATAATCTGCACCTGCCTTGTCTGGTTGTTTTTTGTCGCCAGTAATGTAGCCAATCTTTCCTCTCCCCCTGAGATACATACGAACGGATTGCGACCATCGAAGATAATTAGCACCGTTCAGCCGAATTGTTGTGATCTGAACAGGGTGGTTTTCATGGTACGTTCGGACTAATTTAGGTTCGGGTGAGGAATGTTTGGGTGAAAGTGAGGACTCGGTATCAGACATTGTGGGATGTAAAAAAGATAAACAGAGCGGAAGCAAAAACAAAAAAAAAACCCTAAAGGATTCTTGTTGCTACTGATACCATATAGAAATATGCTTTTTCTATTTCTTTTATTCTGTAACATAGTACATGAGTATTTATAGAATATAAATTACACTAAGAAATAGGGGTAATTATTCTCCCTATAAATGCTAATCCTAAATAAGGTAAGAATATAATAATACAATTAATTTCTATTTAATCACAATTTGAATCCAGCCATAATGAGCTGTATGACAGAATCTGTTTTGATTTTGTGCTAATATTCAACATATATAAATAATCAAAACATTTCACATAAGATTACCCGAGGGGGAAATATATATTCACAAGATTATGCAATTAATAGATGGACAGAGATAGTACCTTTACAACAATGATGGCAATTACACCGCACACGATAAGGAACAGAAAAAGCATGATGCACTTATCGGTAGCTACCTGATATAACAAGGTAAAGACTAAAGATACTTTAGTTTCATGAAAATTTTAGGATTATTGTGAATAGTGCAGAGACACAATGAAAATGAAGAGACCTTTCTTCCGATCTCCTTCACAAGCTGGGAGGCTTTCTTAATTGAGAACTGAATTGAATCAAGCTCGTTAACAACGCGACCCATCTGGTCAGTCTGCAAAGTTTGGTAATAGAAAGAAAGTCAGAAATGTGATCAGATACACTCTTCGCTTTCAAAAATATACACACATTGTGCAGATAAACTTACTTGGCCTTTCAAGGTGGTGGCAGTTTGGGTACCTACTTCAATTGTTTGATGTACAACCTGCATTTCAATATAATGTTAATAATAAAGGTAAAGGGACAATGAAGTCATAAATGTTTAACAAGATCCACCTGCTTAGATCTTTCTATAGCCTGATCAGTTTCATCCATTGTTTTCGTCCCAGTATTGATAAGTTCTTGATTTGACATTTCTAGAGGACAAGCCAAATAAGCATTTTGATGAGATATATATTTATTAACTACACATAAAAGCATAAACATCCAGAAAAAGGCCTAATCCCCAGCCCAGCATATGAACTATCATGCACCATCAAACATAATGCCTGAAGTAAGTAGCGGCGAAAAAATAAGCACAAAATATATGCAAGATGAGTAGATTAAAGACTGGACATAACAGAAAACAGAAAATATTGAGAAGTGTTTTCATTATCTCATTGGTAACTTACACCCACTTAAAATTTGTTTACCTGAGTAACTTCACAATATTTGGTTTTTAAACAGTTTTTATTAGTAGATGAATTGCCTATCTTGAGCTATTAAGGATATGTATTAGGAATTCTTATTCTACTGTAAGCCTATTTAAAGGCATTGAGATTATCAATAAATGTCATCAATAATTATTATCAAAGAAGTATTTGTGAATTTAAGAGACTGTGTTAAGGACGAGTCTGCTTCTGCCTTCGCCATAGGTCGAAGCAAAGCTTCTACCGTGCCTAGGACTGTGTCAACACGATCCAAGACAAAGGGCTATAACAGAAGTCTTGACTTGTGTGAGGACACATGATGGAGCTACAAAAAACTCTCCCCAAACAATAGGATTGCACAAGGGGTGAACCCTTTTGGATTTACATACGGAAGACATCCAAAAGCCACCACCGAGATGGATATATTCTATTCTAGCAAATGCCTGTAAGAGAAGCTAACTTACACCCACTTATTTTTTAGGAGTATGTTAGCAAGCTATACCTTTGGGGGTATTTAACCATTTTTTAGTTATAACTTTCTAAAATACTCCTTCATATCGCTCACTGAATTTTTTATTAGTTTTTCAATACCAAATCAGTTCAGTTCAATTAAGTATAGTTCGGTTTGGTTAACTGCGGTTTGGTTCGGTTATTGAACTGTTTGGAAAATACTGAGTCGTTTCAATAACTAAAAGAAATAATTCGGTTATTTAACAACACTTTGGTTTGGTTCTACGGTTCAGTTCGGTTCTTTGGATTTTTTTAACAATCTTACACAATCATGTCATCGTGTGGAAATCGAGAGCTAAGCCTGTAAGTGTCTTCCCTTATCATTATACTTACCACCATAAACAGAGAGACAAAAAAGAGAGTCGGGTAGGGGAAATGCTGTCAAAAGGAATGATAAAACATAGTACCAGTTCTCATTCAAGTCCAGTTATCTTATGGGAAAAAGGACAACTCATGGTAGATGCGTTGACTATAAATCTCTATAAACAATTGAGACCATACCAGAAAAGTACCCAATTCTAGTAGGCCTATACCCACAGCTCAATGCCATTCGGGCCCAATAAAGAGGTGGTGTGCGATGAAGAATATTCACCAAAAGGTGGAGAAGTTAGTGGGAAAGTTAGTTATTGAGAGAGAGTGGATGTTGTCTATGTTTATATTAGAAAGAATAGAATATGGGAGGGCTTTGGATATTTGATATTTCAAGGGTAATTGGAAGGAAGTTCAGAAGAATACTATGGCTTGGGAGGGAAGTGTCCTCTTTCTTATCTTGTTTGTAAGTACAGTGCCGATTTTATAATACAATCTCAGTTTTGTTATGATTATATCCTACCAAATTATGAGGCAAAAATTGGTTGAAACATGGTTTAAAATTAAAATCGAAGACCAAAACCAATGAGAAATATTACAATGTTCCACCAGCATGAAGTAGGAAAAAGTAGAAACAAAATTCAATGTCTAAAAATATGTATAAGACATAACTATACACTAAGAATTGACATCAACTCCATATATTACCAGATATTAAGGTTATGACGAGAAAATTCTTACTTGATGCCAATTGAACACTTTCTTCAGCCATGGGTTCACTTGGTCCTGCTCCCGTGTCAAAAAGTTCAGCTTTCTTATTACCAAGGGTACTCATGTACCTATTAACCAACAAAAAAATATCATAACAAACTTTCAAATAGCCAAAGCATACTTGTACTAAGCTGTAAAAAAACAAAAAAGGGAAGGGAAATTATAGTTTGAATTATTACGCCAACAGTGAACATTAACCATTATGCTCATAGGGAAAATTCATAAAATATTTTCTAAAACCTTTACCGGAAGCAAGTTCCAAATGTACAAGAAACAATTTTATTCTGTCAGCAGAACACTATATGGATGAACTTACGTTTTTCTCAATGCAACATATGAGTTTAGTTCCTTGATCTGCAAAAAAAATAAAAAGTATGTGAGCAAACACAAATAAAGTGGTTTTGGGGCAAGACCGTGAAATATGCAATATATGATGCATATCCATTAATCCGTTAATAATATTAATAATCAACAACAATGGACTTTCACCGTGCCCATTTGGTTTCTTCCAAATTGGTACGACCTGCTGGATTTTCTGAGGAGGAAATGGAAGAAAACCAAAGAGGTGCCCGAAATGGGGGATGTTGAGACCAGAATGGCATCAGTGGAGAAAAGTATTAACATACTAGAAACAGCAGTAAAAGAATTGTCGAGACAATGTTCAATGAAAAAAGAATCATCAACATTTCAGGTCATAGAGGTGGAAATAAAGGAGGTAAAGGATTCAGCAATGTTGCATCTCCTTTCTAAAATCTAATATGTTACATCATTCAAATTCCTTTTTACTTTTTGGTACTAGACCCTTAATCTATTCCAGGGTGAGAATATTCAAATTTTGTAAAACAAAAAATGACCACATATCAGTGTCACCAAACATTACACCACTTTATATCTGAAAGGAAATTGAAAAGATTAACTGCTCTTTTAGTCACTTTGACTTAGCGTTATCAATTCTTTTTTTTACCATGATTTTTTTGGTACTACAACTTTCTAAATTCATTCCAGGGTGAAAAAATGCCAATTTTTTAAAAAGCAAATGTAGTGTTACCAAACATTATCTGGTCCACTTTTTACCTGAAGATATTGGAAAGATTAATATTTAGTAAGTGATTTTGGCTTGGTGTTATCTATTTAAGCTAACTATGATCCTGGGTCCCACCCCACCCCCAATTCCTATTCTCCCTTTATATTCTAAGAATGCTCTTTACAATTTATCATGATCAAAAAGAATTTTCACTCTGAAAAGTCAAAATAGAAAGTAATCACTAGTCTATTCGCTCTCTCTGTAATAGTTTCAGTAACTGTGTTACCAATTAATGGAATTTATCTCCTCTGAAGTAAGCAACTCACTTAAGAGTGTAAAATGAATAATATGAACCATTAAGGAATAAATCAATATTGATATACATGCCCGTGCCTAAAAAATTATGGATGTGTTGAAATATCAACCTTTGATTTTCTCACCTTACTCTCTACTCATTTTAAAGGAGCTAAATCCCAATTAATAGTACCCAGCTTCAATGGAAAAATCTACAAAGGTTAGTGTATGACTCCAAGCATACAATGAAGCTGTACCTTAACAGGGAAAAAAAGGTCCTATAAGTCTTCAAAGTATCCAAAAAAAGAGTACAGGTTTGTCCCAATATAGGTTTATATATTAAAAAAAGTGCTTAAAGAGAGTCATTCTCCAAGAAGAAACCAAATAAAGTGTGTAATCTAGCAGAGTTAATGCACTAGATTCAGTTAACCAAGTTCCCATCATTCTGCAAAACCATACATGAATTTTCTTATCTTTGCATTAGAGAATAAGATTATAACATCTAGGTACCAACTATAAACTTTATAGACCATGCATTATCTAGTCCAACTAGAACCTTATATAATGTTTATAACTTTCATTAAGACATACCAACCTCTAAACTCCCAAGAAATTAAAGTTATAAACTATCCATCTGGCATGATGATAAAATGTTCTTGAGAAGCAATTGGTTGTGGGGAAAATTTATAAAGTTTTCAACAGTTTTAAAAATGGTGAAGTTTAATTCACAATACATGGAAGAGAATCCCGGCATGATCATATCAAAAAGACAGATTTTGGGTACTGACCATTGATTGCTTTTCATCATTTAGTTGTTTGTTCACTTCTGGGGTATTTCTGCCCTCTTCATCTTTAATTTCACGATCAAATTCTTTTATCAAACTGGAACAATTATAACAACATAATGCTTCATATGATGAAGGGAATGCATTGAAATCAAATTGTGAAATATGTCAAATATCAAATGTAATTTTACTTTATTCACCACTAAAATAACATATGGCAAAAGACAAGTGAGATGTCAAAAGAAAAAAATTGGAAAGCAGATAACGACTAGGGCAAACAAAATATATAACAAGGTTGTATGCTATCCATATCACCATTCAAAACTTGGGATGCTGGCACAGGATATAAATTTACATTAAAGAGCTCTTCTTTATTAGAATTTAGTTGCAACAGTTAAAAAAACCCATCGTGCGGCCAATATGAATTAAAAAGCAGACAAGTTTTGAACGGAATCTGCATTTTCCTTAGTTAAGTCATCACCAAGAGATAACAAGATTGCAACAATATAAATCCAGGACTAACCCTTTGCACTCTCTCATCTTCCCCGTGAGCTCTTCCAGCTGATTACTTTGTCTATTGGAATCTTTAATCTTGTCCAGCTTCTGGAAACCATTTCTGGGAGCAAAACTGAGTATGTTAAAAATTTCCACAAATACTTAATAGATGAGATATCTATTTAGACAATTAAGCATTCTTATTTCTTTTCCTTCTTCTGGAATAAGTAAATCGTGACTCTGGTAGTGCCACCTGCTAAGGAGGCGTGACTGAAGTAGAAAAAAAAAAGTAACCCTAAATGATAGGTCATTTGTGTTAAGATAAATAAATAAAGGAAATATTATATAATAGACATTGGCCCATCACTGTGAAAGAGGCAATTGATATAAATATATTCAGTTTCAAGAGATAGAAAGAAACAAACTATTGTAATGGACTCATGGCCACAAAATTTGTTAGGGTCATACCATAGCCCTTATTACAAGACATGGGAAAGAACGCCATCAACTTATATACAATGTCTGTGAATTATGTAAATTTCTATGATCTTATGTATGACACGATATCCTGATACTTCGATGGTGGAGGTTCCCTGGTGCCTTTTTTTATGAAGATACTGGCACTCTAGCTAGCAGCTAATATTTGACCACTTTATCTTTAGTTTTCACTGGTGTGTGTCAAGTGTAAGTTCCTAAGTGGTTTTCATAAAACCTTCAAAAAAATATGTTATTATAGAATCGGAACAACTTATGTAATTGTTAGTTTTTGGAAGAATTATTAAAAATAGCTTATGATATGCCGAGTGTAAGTCAAACTCGGGAGTATACATAAATTTATGAAATCTTCATAGACTCAACTTGAACATGTTTATTTAATTCAAAAGTAATGTTTAAAAAATCTATCATGGATCTAAGCACAATCTAAAACTATGAGAACAACTGCCAAAAATAAAAAGAGGCATTTGTTATAGAAACAAAAAAGAAAGTAGAATATTTAAACATTCAAAACTTAAAATGTTTTACATTTCATTTAAAACTTCCTGTACTATGAATCCTGGTCTTAACAGGTATCTTGAGGATTCTCACTTATTAGTATCTATCTTGGTTTTTAAAGGATAATTTAGTCAAATGTAGGTATTAGGGCTGAGACTATCAAACTCAAAAGTAGTGGTTGAAATAGGCTAGGCAACCCTACATATACCTTTGAGCTTTGCCTACATCATGACCAGGTTAGGCCAGACATATTTTAAAATAGACAAAGCCAAGTCTTTTTAAGTGGTCTATGTAAGTGGAAATCTATAGGCGATCGCAAAAGCCTCTTGGACCTAATAAGTCAACCTATTTAAATAAATATAAATAATATGAATTTTTTTCTTGTTCAACAATCATTGGTGCATAGTATAAATAATTATGTTGGATCAAATCTTCGGTATACTAGCCATACAGCCAGTGTTTTCAGAATGACCGCTCCATAGCAACATCTAAGATTGACAACTATGCCTTAAAAGACCAATAAAAATAAACAAGGATTATATTCGTATGTAGCTGTTGAAAGTGGAAGGGAGAATATATATACAAAGTACGACATTTTAGTGGGAGCACGAGATTAAAATTTCAAATGAAGGATTCAGTAAATACTCATTGAAAATAATTCAAAAAGATCTATATCTCAAGCACAACATACTAACTACCAACTGTTGGTCTGAGGCTATGTGCATCTACATAGTGCTTGTTTCTACCTGAAATCTTCACTACTATCATCACCTCAAAGAAAGAGCTTCTTCCATTACATTACTATCGTTGCATACTCATGACACCAAATATCAATATATTATAAACCACATTGATGAACCTCTTTAACACTCTCCAAAAATAGTTTAACAGCTAGTTATGTGCCTTCAAACCATAAGACACTTTAGGATCTCACATTATATTTCAACATGTTGGTATGTTATAGCAATTAACAACTCACACAAGCCAATGTTCAATATTAATTATCAAATTTTCTAGAATCATAAAAGCAATGTACTAACAACAAAAAACATAATTCACAAGTTCTATTTTTTACTTTGCAAAGTGAAACTCGTCACAAAGATTATCTTGTAATATTAGATACGTGAGGGCTGGAACTGAACAAAAATTAGTTGTTGAGATTAAGAGAGACATACGCGAGAGCTCGAAAGTGATCGCGGATTTGGCCGTGGATCTGCTCCACCTCAGGGTTCATCTGCAAGTTGGTAGCCATTGTTGCCGGCGATTATGTCACGTCGACAGAATCCCGGCGAGAATTAATATCCCGGCGGAAACCCTAGCTCGTCGATTTGGGGAAGCTCAACAAGGGATGCATGGCCGTTTAACTTTCGTGGGAAAATGAAGGACGGACAGTGGAGGAATTGAAATGCAGAAGAGATTGATGAAAATGCGCGAGAATTTGGGTTGAATTGAATTGGAGTGAAGTGAATTTAGAGAGGGAAAATGGAAGCAGAAGAACAGAACAGAGAAGAAGAGGAAAGTTTAGAAGAGATGATAGTTTGCTAATATGAAAATGAATAATAGGTTTAATTACTTGATCCACTTTTTTTTTTAATTAATCAACTCGATCCACTTTTAGAATATAGAACTATAATTAAAAAGAAAATTGTATCCATATCCTTCATTTATTCTCCTACTTTTACATTAAATTCTTTTAATCAAAATATCCTAATGAAACATTTTAAAACTCAATTGTAAAGTGTTTCGATTTATTGAAATACTACTTCAAAACTCTTTTTGGAAGTGTAATGGTTCGGAGTTATTTTTATACACCAGAATTTTTACAAAAAGTGTTTTAGAATGATTTTTAAAAATTTTTAAATATATTTTTTTGTAATTTTAAGAGTGACGCGAACACAAGACAGGTACGGTTGGATTCCAGAGCGCGACGGTTTAGGATAGGGCACTCGATCGCCGTTGGTAGATGAGAAAGTGTACATTAGTGGATCTTCATTTGCGTGATTCGGGTGACATTTTCCAGATTTCGTTCTTAGAAGGAAAATAATATGTATGTATGGGGAACATGTTTCTATGCCATATGTGTTCAGCATACTAATAAAGAAATGACATTTTAATCTATAAGGTAAAACATGGTTAAATCATGGTTATGAAGTCTATATTTTACATCTACCTTCCATTCATACCCATCTTTCGTCAGAGTCGACCTGATTTTAAATGGACATCCATATTTCTTAGTCGCATTTTGTGTTCCACTATTTGTATCTTTGTATTTCTTATATTTATCACAACTAAATATTACTTTGTTGTTTCTCCCTCTCTTGCATATTTCGGTATTTGAATAAGTGATGTTAACAGTTAATTTATTTCTAATTCCAACCTCTTTAATCCACCTTATCACATATTCTCGTGTATTGAATCTCTATGTAATTGAGAATGCATCACAGGTATCTACACATTTTGTTTTTATCGCATATTTGAAGAGGAATTTCTATACCTGCAACATAAATAAAGTCTTAAAAAGTTTTAAAAAATGGTAAACGAATAACTTTTGTTTAAGATTTTTAGTACAAAAAAAACTTGAGCACCAGATATCTTGACAAAAAGTGTTCTGGTACACATTTGTCTCCAAATCAAAAATCATTTATCAATTGTTTCGGTACATTAAAAATTAAAAACAATATTGGAACACGATTTCCAAATTCTCTGAAATGAAAAAAACACATCGGATAACTTATTGCAAGTTATCTGATATACAACAATTATATATCACAAGTCATTATGGAAGTTATTCAGTACACATTTGTAGGGTGCAATTTTTTAAAAATCTAGAATGAATAGTAAAAAGTAAAATGATAAATTAGTTAAAAACACGCAAGGGAAAAGTTAGCATTTTTCATAAAATGTTGAGGTATGGGGATAAGTGTAGGGGTATGGGGTAAAACTTTCTAATTAAGACTACGATGATCATTTATTTATTTTACACACTAGGCCTAAGTCCAAACAGAAAGAAAAGAAACTACAACAAAACCACTTTCAAAGTAAGAAATACACTTTTCACAATGTCTAGTAATTGTTTAATAAAAATTGTAATGTCTTCTTGAAAATTTTGATCCTCTCCTCTTTCAACTCTAGTTTTTGCTAACGCATCCACTCACATATTCGCTTCCCTATATAAATTGCTATTATAAAATACATTAACGTAACATTTTATTACCTCGGCTATTAAACCAACTGAGGTAATAGCTCTTATTTAGGTACCTGCACTTTTATTTCTTTTATTTAAAGACATTTCACTACGATCCATATTTTGGTTACAAAATGGGTGTGTCACTTATAATATTAATATTTATATTAAAATTAGAATACATTACAGTTTAAAATTGCAACCACTGTAAAATGTATCTATATTTCATGTGGTCATTTTTATCAACCATGGTTAAAAGTATATTTAAGTGAAAGTTCGTTCATTCAGGACAGAACATTTGTCTCTTTCATAAAACAAAACCTTAACATATTTTTGACGCCTTATACTTACTCCTTGAACGGTTGCATACCACTTCTTCACAAAACTTCAACATATATTCTTCAACTCTTATGGATCAATGAAAGGTGTTACACAAAACTCATTTCTTCCACTTCCTTTTCACATTTCAGGTACATGAGACGTTTAAATATGGGATCAATAATGGAAACTCATGAAAGAATCGCTGAAGTAAAAAGATCAAGATTGAATACATTAAGTCAAGAGTATGAGTTATTCAGAATGCAACTCAGGGAATCAATCCTCGTCGTGTAGAAAAGATTTGTACACTTGATCAATCACTTGATTGCTCTCGGTAAGACTTTTACTAATGATGAACTTAATCTTAAAGTGCTCAAGTCTTTAACCAGGGAATGACAACCAAAGGTGACAAAAATATCTGAAAAGAAAAGTCTATCTACTATGACATCCACATCTCTATTCGAAAAACATCAAGAGCAAGAGATTGAACTTGGGAGACTAGAAAAGCGTGAGATTCAAGAGAAGAAATCCAAAGGCATTGCTTTGAAAGTTGACTCAAGGGAAAAACAAGAAGAAGATGCTTCGGATGAATATGAGAACTTCATGCTTCTTGTGAAAATTCTTGGTAAGTTTTCTGGTAATAATGATGAATCTTTAAACTTTGCAAAACGAAAGAAATTTTTCAAGAAAAAAGAAGCCTATACGTCAACACAAAATTCACTTACTATGGATGTGGAAAGCAAGCACACATAAAGACGGATTGCCCAAAACTCACCAAGAAAAATGGTTTCAAAGGAAGAAAATAGTCAAAGTCCAAAAAATCCTATATTACTTGGGATGATAAGGAAGTGAGTTCAGCATCTGATCGAAAAGTGAGGAATGTGAAAATCTTACTTTGATGGCATCACATCATTACAGTGATGAAGAAAGAGAGGGTTAGTAATGAAATATCTTCTTATGATAATTAGGCTCAATGGGCAATAAATGAACTACTCAATGAATGTAAAATTTTGTATAAAACGGTGTCAACACAAAAGAAACAAACTTCATCTCTTGAAGAAAAGATTATCGTGCAAAAAGATTTTGAAATTAAAAAACAGGATTATTTTGAAAAATAAAAATAGAGTTTTACATGTAAAAAGTGTAATTCACTTTATTTTCAAATTGTTCAATTAAAATGAGTTATAAAAAGATCTGAAAATTGACAAATTGGATTGAAAGGTGTGGTTAGTAGACAAATATATTCAACTGATAAAATTGGACTTGGTTATTTAAAATTTGACAAACCAAGTTCTAGCAAAATTATCTTTGTTAAGGCAAGTGACCAATCTATAAAAGTGAAAGTGAACAAAGTGCAACATGCTCATCATTATCCTAAGAAAAGAAATGGTCAAAAAAGGAATTATGTTTCTAGATGTAAAAGTAATTTTGTTCCTACTTGTTTCTATGTAAGTAATCAGGTTATCATTAGAGTTATCTTGAAAAAAACTCCATATGAACTCTTCAAAGGAAGAAAGCCAAACAATAATCACTTTTATATCTTTGAATGTAAGTGTTTTTTCCTCAACAATGACAAAAACAATCTCGGTAAGTTTGAAAAGAAATTCGAAGAATGTACTTTCTTGGTTACTCTCTCCCTCTCTAGTAAAACTTATAGAATTTATATTAAAAGAACTTTAACTATTAAAGAATCAATGAATGTTTCTTTTGATGAATCTAACCCCTATAAGGAGGACATAGTTGTTTGTGATGATGATGATATATAATAGAAGTACCAATGGAAGATGTTACAAAAGATGACAATGTTGATCAATCAGAGCACAAAGACGAAACTACTCAATAAAAGCTAAATCAAAGTGATTTTCCTCAAGAATGGAGAACCCATCATGATCACCCAATTGCCAAAGTTATTGGTGACATAAGTAAAGGAGATTTTGAAGGAAAATTGCGATCTATACGCAGCGGAAAACAAAAATTTCCTTTAGTGATCCTTACGAATGAGCATGGTCAGTGATAGAATCGTTACCTCTTTGTGGCGATTCAGATCTTTGATGCAGCGATCACAAGCGTTGATGAAGTGCAACGCCTCTACTCAGTCCACACGAACAGCTTCCGGTCACAGTGCTAGCTGCTTACGAACGGAATTATTTGAGTGAGAAAAGAGAATCAAAAACGAAATTGCATCAAGTGAAAGCTTCATCACAAGGGTTCCTTTTATAGACTCTCTTGTGGGCTGCGGGCTAAAAACCCAATTCACATGATCCATAATAATATTATATATTATTATAATAACTATTATTATAATAAATATATTTATTTTATTATTATTTTATAACCATTATAAAATAACAATAATTATTATTATATTATCCGAATTTTTATTTTTCACTTAAGTGCACCGTACCTTACGGTGTTCCTTTGATTTCTCTATCTCTCATCAAACTGTCCTTATGTGTGTGACCCTGTAGGATTTCGTAACGTTGGTAATTATATTAAATTATATATTTAACATAATAAACAGTAAGCGGTATCTAGCAACACATCACTGCTACCCAAGTCACGAAAATGTCATGTGATCTGACAAAACCTTTTTCGTGATAATATATGTTTGTACAATTACCCTTTTGCCCCTATGTCTATATTGAACACAAGGCATACACTGTGTCATCCTTGTCCAGTTCAATATTGGGCCCTTAGACATTTCTCCTGTTATGCAGGATTGGCAAATTCCATCTAGGACACTCATGTCC